GACTTAGACTTAAAAAAAAAAAAGCACATAGTCCTAACATTACATAATAATGACTCTGCTTTCAGGTGAGACCTTCATTCCATACTACTATGGGAAAGTCATAGACAGCATGGTGATTCACCAAAGCATGGAGTATTTTGCCAAACCTGTGATCATACTTGCAGCACTCGCCGTAGCTAGGTGAGCATCTGCAGTTGTAGGTTTTTATTTTTGCTGTCTTTACATCTTGTAGTAAATTACACAGAGGAATGCATTGTGCTTATATAGTTAGATGCCAAATCACAGAACTGCTTCATGGCAGTCTTTTCTCTCTCCTCAGTTCATTTGCAATCGGAGTACGAGAAGGTGTCTTCACCCTGATGTTTGCGAGATTAAACATTCGTCTCAGGAACCATCTTTTCCGAACCTTGATGAGGCAGGAAATTGCCTTTTTTGATGACAATCACACAGGTGATGTTGAACGCGAGTTCCTGTGCACACATCTTTCCCTTCCATTGATCCGTTCTAATGTTATTCCACGCCCGTGTAATCCTGCAGGTGACATCCTTTCACGTCTGTCTGCTGACACCACCCAGGTGAGCGACCTCATCTCCCAGAACCTCAATGTCTTCCTGGAGAACGTTGTTAAGGGCGTTGGCTTCTTCATCTTCATGTGTGGCATGTCCTGGAAGCTCACACTGGTGACCATCATGGGATTCCCTTTCATTGGTCTGATCTCAAAACTTTATGGTGAATACTACAAGGTAAAGTAGTTTTGTCTGAATGTTCATTTCTTTATAGTTTGCTTCCAAGATTATTATTGTCATTTTTTTAAGTGGTCTTGAGAAATAGTTATTACAGTGAATATACTGCCAGATGCAGCAGGGCGTGGTCGGCGGTGCCGCTTCAGGGATGGCGGACGCAGCTGCGCGGCATCACAATCACACCTCGCCAGCTTAAAATCTGTGCTCTGCCTGCTGTTTGTTGTCGTTGTAGAAGTGTTCAGCTGCAAGCTGTGTATGTAATGTGACAGCAACTGGTCAATAAAAGAATAAAGATGCTGGAAAGCATGTTCATGTCGTCGGGTCTGACATGGTCATTTACGACAGGTTTGATGTTGTTTGGATGAGCTGCTCTGTTATTTTTGGCTAAAGTGTGAGGATTCGTTTTTACGAAGAAAGCTACAGTTAATCTGTTGTGCATTCAGAGAGAGTATAGTGTACCTGTATTGTTGTCAAAACTGTAACTTTGTGATTGTCTACTTGTGACACATCTCGGGGACATGTGTAGATTGTAAATAGAAAAGAATCTCTGACACTATTCCCAGACAGGCTCTCTACTATTTACGATTAGATAACTTTTATATTTTCTTCTGTTCTTTCCAGAGTCTGGCCAAAAAGGTGCAAACAACCCTCGCAGAGGCCAATAAAGTTGCAGAAGAAACCATCTCAGCCATGAGGACGGTGCGGAGCTTTGCCAACGAGAATGGAGAGGCCGATTCCTATTACGCCAAACTCTTAGTCATGTTCCAGTTCAACAAAAAACAAGCCCTGGCCTACGCTTGCTACATGTGGTCCACCACCATGAGTCAAACAGACCACTTGTGAATAATTTCTTCAGGTGTTCAGGATCCCTGAGGACAAACCTTGAGAATATCAGTTTCAGGGCGTGTCGGGTAGGCAAACGTGACGTCTTTAAATTCAACCAGACCGGCACATGTCTCCGGAGCCTCTGTGCCATCAGAGGGGTGTTCGGGTTTCCTATCCAGATACTCAAAAACCTTCTCAGCAGCTCCAACTCCTTGCATGAGGCCCGTGTACACTGATGCAATGCTCTGCAAAGTGAAGACAACATGGATTCATTGACATGTCTTCAGAACAGAAAACAAACGACCTGTGGAGAATGATAGATGAAATACCTCAAGACATTCGCCGAGCTTGAGCATGTATAGGAAAAAAGATACCAAGGCACCGCTACTCATCTGATTAGTAATCACAAGGTGGCCTCCATAGTAGAGGATAGCCAGCTCGAGGGCAAGCTGTGAGACCTGGAAAACACAAAAATCCCTTGCTGTAAGGTTAAAACAGAGACCACTAAATAAACCATGCAGATGAATTATGTAAAGGGTAACTGCAGATACCTACACAAC